CGTGTCGTGTGCTTCCGTGGTGCCATTTCAAAAAATAAAAAGAAAATTAAGAGTAAGAGAACTGAGTTACCTGAACGAGTGACGGTTGATGAAGATCTGGAAATCCGGGTCAGTCGGCTTGTCAGAACAGGCGGTAGGCAGAAAATGTCCGAAATGTCAGAGCAAGTTCAGGGGTCCGAATGTTCTCGCAAAGTTCTCAAATGTGAAAATGACCGAAGTCAGCACTTCCTTATATAGGCGAAGTGAGAAGGCGAAGGGTCGCTTCCAAATTCAAAATGTGGGCGGGAAAATCTCTCGGCCGTTTGCAAGGTGACACCTGTAGCAGGCCGTCGCCTCTCACCATGTGACACCTGTCACAGGCGACACGTGACCAGTCACGTGCCACCTGTGAGGGGCAAATGATTAGGGGATTTTTATCCTCCAATCACCGACTGACAAGTGGACCAACCAGGTTCCGCCACGTGTCCTTCACGTAGGCAAATAGGAGCCTGCCACGTGTCAATCACAGATACGTCCTCTGCGGACTAATTGAGACACGCCACGTGTCCACCCATGCCAAATGGGAAAACCGGCCACCAAGGCCCAATCTTGTTTAGAGGCCCGGTCAGCCCTAGGTTTACCCTAAACCTAGAGAGTGGCACGCTTCTCAAGACTATAAATACTCCTCTTAATCCTCATTAAGAGGAGGACGGAAAAGAGGGAATCAGAGACAGAACTCTAATCACTCACGAATTATACATTAAACACTCTCACCTAGAGAGACCCAATTACTTTTATTTCCGCAATCATTACTCCTTAATCAGGTACTAACTTGACCGTTGGAGGCGGAGCTCTCAGGAGTCTCCGTTGTTTTGCAGGTACAGGCGGCCGGTTCCAGTCTCGGTGTTGTAACTCTCCCGCAGGACATCAGAAAACCCCGAAACACACACGTTAGTAACTTCAAGGAAAATAATAATATAAACAATCAAATTAAATAATTGAAATAGAGATTTGGGACCAAACCCTCAGAAATTAATCCTTTCACGTCTAGGGCGAAGGCAACTTCGAATATGGCTAGGTGTTTCTAGATCTTGCGAATGCGAAATTTTGTATGTAAAAGTAAGGTTTAGAAAAAGAGAAAGATGAAGAGATGAATGAATTAAGAGGGAATTAGAGAATTAATGATTGCGAATGAAAACTGATTGTAGGTGAAAATTCTTGAGAATTGGTGAATGAAAACGGAGTTTTTAATACGTTATTTTTAGAGAAAATCAGCCAAAAAAATAAAATAAACAAAACAGAGTATGGGCACGAAAAACAAGGTTGGCGCACGCAAAACAGAGCTGGCGCCAGCACCAGCTAATTGACGCCAGGCGCCAGGCCTGGTTCCAGGCGCCAATGCCTGGAGTCAAGCGCCAGGCCTGTTTTTGACGCGTTTTCGAAAATCAGATAAGTTTGTCGTACTGGAGGATAAAATCGTATCTTTTCCTCAAAAATGCTATTTGATTTTAATTAAAACTCTGAAAAGTCAACAAAAGTCAATTTATCAATGCTAATTGAATTAGGAATGAAAAGAACCTTCTAGAAGAATCTAGAAGACTAAAACCATTCCTAATTGCATTAGGAATGATAAATCATTTTAGGCCCTCCCCTAGATCATTGGGCCGCATATAAAGCTCAAACTGGGCCCAGTTTAGTAAATTGGCCATAACTTCTTCAATATTCATCGGAATTGGGCTTATAATATATCGTTGGAAAGCTCTTGTCAAGCCCCATCCAACTACACTACTATTGGACCCAGATCATGGATTAATCAAACTGGATTGGCTGTTTTCTTCAAATAAGTTTTCAAAAACAGAAAGAAGAGAAAAGAAATTAAAACTTATCCGCAACACAAGACTTTCCACACTTTCGTTTCATTCGATAATGATTCGACGTGAAAGGTACTCATCATTGGGTTTGGTTTTGGGGAGACACAAATGGGTGTCTACAAGTACATCTTTTACTCGCCACATAAATGAGATTTGAGTGTGTGAGCACTAGTCTTGAATTCTATATGCTCTTGTGCTTTGCTCTACTTGACAATTGTTAGGGAAGTATGGCAGTTGGATGAATTTGATTGGTTGACTTTGATACATGTGTTGTTAGATTTACCTTTAATTATTTTTATTGATTTAAATTGTATTTGGGGTGAAGTATTGATTTATTTATTCATTGATTTGCTTAGGGAAAAGCAAATGTTTGTCTTAGGGGAGTTTGATGAGTCTATTATATATATATTTATTTATTCCCCGTCCCACGGTCATATTTGTGCTTATTTGAGCTCTACGGAGCTATTTTTGTTACTAATATACGTTTTTTTAGTGTTTTTGTAGAGTTGGTATTATTTTGCAGGAATTTGCATGTTTATGTCAATTCCCGAGCTTATGGAGCCACTGCGAATATATTAGAGTCGAATCTTATTTTATGACCGTATATTAAAGCCCAAGACCGAGTTAAAGGAATTTAGTTCGGTGAATAAGGGCTCGATTAGAGAAGAGAGTGGTCTACATTATTATTATGGATTAATGGACCAAGCATAAAAGAGAACTTGGACTCAAGTCAAGAAGCCCAAGTCCAAGGAGAAGCAAAGCAGTCCAACTTTAGTTGACCGGGCCCGATCGGGCGAGTTTGTTGATGTTTGTCAATTGGTATTCTGTGCACCATGGTGCACAGTAAACTACATGCTCCAGCCCAACACGTGGCCAATAAACACAACCCAAACAAAAAATACGCCCAACCCAAACATCATGTTTTCGGTTTTTTTTTAAAAAAAAAAATAACCGTTCTAATCCTTCTAATGAACCGCCACTTTATTTTTTTAATCATTTTATATAAAAAAATCTTTCTCTTCTCGTAAATTATAAAGTTTCATCTCATAAATTCATTTGCATTTCTCTCTCCTCATTTCATTTTTCTCACTCAACTCTAAATTTCTCTCTCTAAAAACTACTGCAATTCCATGGCGAATGAAGAGATTCACCGAAATCACCTTCAAAAAGGTGAACATCACTTCAATAACTTTGATTTTGATTCAATTTTGATAAATTTTTTAAACTATTGTTGTTTTAATTTTTTGAAATGTTAAATCATTGATATAATTTTGTTTTTTTTTGTTTGATTTTTTTGTTTTTTTTTTGTAGAAAATCAAAACAAACTTCGTCTAGTGGTGAAGACGAACATATGTAAGTGATTTATTGTTCTAATTACCAACAAAATGAGTAATTTAAACCCTAATTTTTAAAATTGAAAATTAATTTGAAACAAAATTGTGTTGAACGGGACATTAAGTCAGATGTTCAAGTGAAAACACCAAAAAACGAAGAAATTAGAAGATATAGAAGGAAGTCCATCAAACAGGTATATTTTGAATTTTTGATTCATATGTTTCCTATTTAATGTGAATATATGTTATTTTTTTGAAGGAAAATTCTAAATAATCAACTGAAAACCCATAATTGTGTATTTATGTTTGTATATTTGCTTGCATGTTTATCAATTTTAATTATGTATTGATATGTTTTTGAACAACACTTCAAACTCTTTTGAATAGAAATAAATAACCACTGAACATATTTCATTTCAGTTTGTATTGGAATAATTGATAATATTTAATTATTAAATTTTCAGATGAACACCCTATCAAAAAATTTGAACAATAAACAACAAACACTGAACACCCCACAATTCTATATATATTTGATTGTATATTGATATATTGTGATAATGTTTGGATATTTTTTTGAACAAACCATGAAAAACATTTGAATGACAAAAAATAATAACTGAACACCTTCAAATTTAGGTTGCTTTACATTAAAATATTAGGATATATTCATATAAAATTAAATTTGGTTTATAGCCAAATATTAATTAGAAATAATATATATAAAAATTGGTTTATGTTCATATAAAATGTTAATTTTGTTGTTATTTTTCTTTATTAACAGTCCAACTGCTGGAAAGCACCCTGAAACATCAGAACAACATCCTAAAACTTCTGAACAACCCTCCCAACCCACTGAACACCCAGAACCATACAAAACTTCTGATGTACCTCCACAAACTTCTGTACTTCTATCAGAAACACATATACCCCCTCAAACAGAAAAAAAAAATCATGAGAAACAACCAGAAACTTCTGCACTCCCATTAGGAAGTTCTGATCTACCTAAAGGAACTTCTGAACTCCCATCTGGAAATTCTGAAAAACCTCAACCAACTTCTGTACTCCCATCAGAAAGTTCTGAACAATCCATGGGAACTTCTGAACTCACATCAGGAAATTCTGAAAAACCTCAACCATCTTCTGTACTACCATCAAAAAATCCTGAACAACCTCCAACAAATCCTGTAGTCCCATCACAAATATTGAACATCCTAAGGAAACTTCTGTACTCCCATCAAAAAATTCTGAACAACCTCCAACAAATTCTGTAGTCCCATCTGAAGAACAAGGAAATTCTGAACATCTTACAGGAAATTCTGAACCAGATGGAAAAAATGGTGACAATGCTAGTCAGCGCAAGCCAAGGTAAAATGTTAATATGTTTTTCAATCATTTTATTTATAGTGTAATGTTCATTTAATTACATAAATGTAAGAATTTTTTAACTTAAACTATATAAATGATTAAAACAGGAAGAAAAAACATATAGCTACAAAAAAAAAAAGAAAAACACAAGCCCTACAACATCAAGAGTGTTGCGCAGCCAAAGCACCCCAGAAGAGCAAGAAAAGCATGTTGAAGCAGAGGTAATTCCAGAATCAGAGTTTAACATAGCTTAGAAAATTAGAAAGGGGGTTCAAACAAAACAAAAGGGGGTTCAGATAAAAGAAAAAACTGGTGCAAAGGAAGGAGAACAATCTTCACAAAAGGTTGTTAAAAAGGGAGTTCAGAAGAAGGAAAAAGAAGTTCAGAAAAAGGTTGAAAAAGTTCAAAAAAAGGAGAAAGGAAAAAAAAGTTGAGAAGATTGAGAAAGAAAGAGAAAAGTTGATGATGATGAGCTGATTGATGACAATGTAGTGAATTTGAGTGATGATGATGAGGTTAAAGAAGATAAGCTATGTGTTAGAGTGGGACATGTTAAGTTTATGAAGTTTATAGGTAGCTTAACCCCACAACAAAAACAAGTAGTGAAAGAAATGGGATTTGGGGCATTTCTTTCTGTGAATTTGCCAGAAAATGTTGCAGTGTTTTGTGCTTGGTTGTTGAAACATTTTGAAGAAAACAGCAGCATCTAATACTTGCCATTTAACAAATCAGTGGAGATCAATGAACAAGATGTTCAGATAGTATATGGAGTACCTAGAGGTAAAAAAATTGTTTCTGAAAAAGAGCCAAACAAGGCAGAGGAAGAAGATGAAGATTTGGAGATTGTGACACCTTTGATGAGGTGGAGGGAAATGTGGGGGTGTAAAACTGGTAGCCCTAGAACACAATGGATTTTTGAGAAGTATGAAAGTGAGGAAGAAAAGAAGATCAAGAGAGATCAACAAGATTTGCATAAGAGGAAATATATCACAGCAGCCATAGATTCAAAAGAGAAGAACACAGGAGAAGTAGCTGAAATGTTCAAAATAGATTTCCTTGTGCTCGCTGTAAACTCAATGATGAAAACAAGCCAAAACCTTTACTGCCACTACAAATTCCTACACTCAATTCAAGATTGTGATGAAATAAAGGAATTGAATTGGTGCAAGTATGTGCTACAAAGTCTGATTTCCACAGTACCTGAGTGGAAACAAAACACCAAGGGTTTTTTTAAGGGACCACTGCCTTTCTTGTTGGTATTCTTTTGGCTTTTGTTATTTTTATTATTTGTTCATATTGTATTGCATGATGTTCAAAAGTTATACCTATTAGTTCAAAATTAAAATGGCATATGTTCAAAATGTGTTTGCCTTATTATAATATGAATTATACCTTTTATTCTTATGTTCAACAGTTTTGGTATGACTGTTCAAAATTTTAATGTCTTATATTCCTATGTTTGTTTCAAGGTTTTTGATTATGATTGTTCAAAATTTTAATGCCATATATCAATATGTTCAAAGTTTCAAGGTTTTTGATTATGTTTGTTCAAATTTTAATGCATATATGCTTGTTTCATTTTTTAAAAATTTCATAACAGAAATAATGTTTTGGTATGCTTTTTTAATGGCACAGTTATTGTATTGTGATCGAGTGCAAAAAAGAGGTATCGAGCAACCAAGGACATACCCAATCATTTCAGCTCGGAATAGAGATATGATTCAAGAAAGAATAAAATTGGAAGGAAAGTCTCAATTTGGATTGGGAAGTGTGTTAGAAAGAATACAAATATCTGGACAACAACAACAATAAAAAGTTCAACAACAAGAAAGCGATGATTTGCCAATATCTGAGAATCTGCCAACCAAGGTTCATTTTCTTTTCTGTTCAAAATTTATTTCTAGTAGTTCAGAGTGTAATGACAAATGTTCAAATGCTTTCGTCAAATGTTCAAATAATAAAGAATACTATAATACTGCATTATCAAATCAGTTAAAACTTCATTCAACAAATTTTTGTTGTTCATTAACTTTAAATGCATGTTCAAAATACTGCAAACATATGTCAATTATTTTATATTGAAACCAGGAGAATCTGCCAACCAAAGTTCGTTTACTTTTTTGTTCAAATTTTATTTCTATTTGTTCAGAGTGTTATGATAAATGTTCAAATGTTTTCGTCTAAAGTTCAAATAATAAAGAATACTTTAATACTTGATCATCAAATCAGTTAAACATTCATTCTTTAAACTTCTGATGTTCATCAACTTATAATGCATGTTCAAAAACTGTAAACTTAAGTCAATTATTTTATATTGAAATCAGGAGGAAGTTATGGATGATTTGATGGATATTGTAAAGACTTTGGGAAGTTGTGTATCAAAAATGACTGAGAAGTTGAAGCTAGGAAAAAACCTGTTCCCTAACAACATGATAATCAAAAGTGTTGAAAGTCTTATTGGAAAAAGAAAGAATGATTATTCCAATTTGAGTGAAGATGAGGCTTTCTTTGGAATAGAGTCTTTCTTGAAGGCTATTAATCATATTGAAAGAGAGTATTTGGAAAAGAAGGAAGCTGAGAAAAAAGAAACAGAAAGAAGAGAAGCTGAGAAAAAAAAAAGAAAAAGAGAGAAGAAGAGCATGGGGAAAACAGAAGGTAGGGGAGGATTATAACATGGAAAGTGCTTTTGATTTGAGAATTGATGATCCTCCAGCACCAACAAATGGTCAAACTGGAGGAAGCAGAAGTCCTATGGTAAGTGGTGCTTCTCCTATGGCAAGTGGAGATCAAAGGGAAGAAAGTGCTGGTGTTAGGAAAAGTACACTTGACCTAACACTTACCATAGGTAGAGGAGAGAAAGGTCCTGAAAAAGAAGTGGCAGAAAGTGGTGAAAAGGGAAAGGCAAAGGAGGTGCCTTTTGAAATGGCAGAACTTGATGCACCTGGAGAGTCGTCACATATGCCTTTTGAAGACATGTTTGATGATGCCACTGACTTTGCCAATATATTTGAAACCAATGATGCAACACTTGATGATATTTTGACGAACTCACTTTCAAAGGACTTTCAATATCAAGGGTAATGTCATTCTATCTGAACATCTATATGTAATTTTTTGGGCAGTAGGGTAGAAAAGAAAAAGAAAAAGATATGTAAATATTTTGGAAGTAATGTAATGAATCTGTAATTTTTTGGACAACTAGGATAGAAGCTGAAAAAGTCAGCATAAATATTTTGGATGAAATCAGAACAAGTACAAATATAAATGTATTTATGAAGTATTGAATGATATATTTACTATATTAATTTTCTGTGTTCAAATAATTATATTTAGATGCTCATATGTCTTTATTGTATGTTTAAATCTACAGATCTAAAGAAGAAGCAGGAAAAGAAAGAGAAGTTTCTGAAAAATCAAAGGGGTAATTGTATAAAAACATATATATTCGATCAAAGTTCATTAGCAATTCATATACAGTTCAGTTTCGTAAATGTATATTTCAAAAAAACTAACAATACTTTTATATTGTTACATTAGACCAAAAACAAAACAGGTTGTTGATGCAAACAAAAGACCACGAAGAGAAGTTACAAAATTGCCAGCTTGTCTAAAATCCTCATTCATGATTAAATATGTGGATTTGTTCAAAAATGTTAGTGCAATGCAAGCAACTTTATCTGATTATGCATTCAGTGAAGGTCCTAATAAGTAAGTTTCTAATATAATTTCATTGTTCAAAAATTAATTTACTTTGTTCAGATATTTATTTATATAGTTCAAATAATAAAATGAAGCTTAACTTAGTTTGTTATTTTTTTTCTTGTATTGGCAGTGAAGTACTGTACCATGATGGAGAAAATAGTGTCAACAGGGAAGAAATGAGGACACTTGGAACAGATGAAGAGGTCGACAATGCAGTTATCGATGCTTGGGCTCATATTCTGAACACCAAAGGCAAAAAAACATAGCATTTACTTCTCCACAATGCCATACGTAAGAAAATATATATTCAATATTCTTAAATAAACCATATTTAATATTTTCTACAAACTGTTTAGTATATTTTGTTTAGTGTTCATTATTTTTATAATAACTTTTCATTATTTGAATGGTTAGTTGCAGTTGATTGTGTGCAGAGACATGGGTAAAAGTGTGAACACCACAAAAGAAGAAAGACATGAGAAGTTTGCAGAAAGACTGAACTATGAAATGACAAATAGTGGTATCACCAACATAAAAAAATTTAGGGAATTCTTGTTTCTTGTTCCTGCATTTAAGCACTTCTACTTGCTATGTATCAACATGTACAATGGAACAATTGATTTGATTGACAACAGGAAGCTTCCAATGAATGTCAAAGCATCTACCAAATATGAAGATAATCCTCAAAAAATGGTAAAGTACTAAATTATTTTTTGTTCAATTTGTTCTTAGACTGTGTTCAGTAAATTGAGTTGAGATGTTCAAAAAGTATGTTATTATGTTTTACGGCTAGAAGCTTTTTCATATTTTATGCGAACAAAGGATTATATAGGAAGTGATATTGCTAGAGTCTTAAGTTTCAAGACTGATTTTATCAAGATGAAATGGAAAAGCAATTTGGATCATAAAAATTGTGGTGTTTACGTGATGAAACATATGGAAACATACACAACAGAGCCTTTGGTAGAATGGAATTGTGATTTGAAAGCAAATAATGTGAGTTTCAAAAATACTGTTCAAACGTTTTCTTTTTATGTTCAAGACATTTTATATAGTGTTCATAATTATATAATTTCGGGGTGCATGTTCAGGTTGATCAAATAAGGAAGCTTAGAGTGCAATATTGTTCAGAAATCATATTAGGCCCCACCAACAAAGAAGGATACAAAGTGAAAATGGCAGCAAGAAAAAGAATGGAAGAGAATTAATATTTAGGTTTATTGACATTTCAAGAGACAGTGATTTTATGTAATTTGTTTGAATTTGAAGTTTGATGAAGACAAATGTTGTTTGAATTTTTAATTTGGATTGAGATTGACATAAGTATGTAATATTTGTAGTAAATGTTGACATTAAACTTGTGCTCAAATATTAAACTGTAGTAGTTCATTTTATAAAATATGTTTGTCAATATTTATTTTAATTAAAAAATTATAACAATAAAATTATAATGCAAAAATTTTCATATATATTGAAAATTAATAAGCATTTGAATATTATTACATATTGTAAACCTATGAAAAAGTGTTCAAATATATTGAAAACCTATGAATTACTTGTCTTGTCAAACATTGATAACATTGCATCATAATTTGAAACATTAGAAGATCCAGAAGCACGAGACCCTTCATTCCTTGCGTTGCGACCAGCATCAAAATACTAAGAACACAAAAATTAAAAGAACGATAAAAAAAAACAAAAGGCCAAAATTCATACAAAAAAACAATAATACAAAATAAAGAAGAAAATGTTCACACTTACTTGAGCCCATTTACTAGTTTCATATTGAAAACTTCTGTTATGATTCACTTCAGATACTTTCCTTTTTTTAGCCTGAGAACCACTTGAGACCTAAAATAAAAATATATAGTTTAGATTATAATGTAACACGTTCAAATTAAATTAAAGAAAATTCAGTAAAAAGTTACATTTCTTGCAGAAGACTGAGAACCAGTAGCTGGAAAATTAGTTGAAACTTGATGACCATGAACCTAGAGAAAATTAAGGTTAGTTCAGAATTTAAGGAGAATAGTTCAAAAATAACATTTATCAGTTCAATATAAAAATTACATTTGATAAAGGTGGCTGAGTAGCTCTTGAGAAAGATTTTGTATTTTTAGCTTGAGATCCACATACCTAAAACATATAATATACACACACACACATGTTAATAAATTATCTTTAAAAAATGTCAAGAATGTTAATAGTAAAGAGGTTAAATTTATAGAGGAAGGCTAAGCATTTGTTCTTGGAATGGTTTTTGAAGCTTTTGATGCTGATGGCTGAGAAGAATTAGGACCTGGAAAATTATTGGATAATTGACCTTCAAAAACCTACAAAAATAACAAAAGATCAGTAATAAATAAAGAAGTTTAAAGTATATAAAAGAAAAATCAAGAAAAACATACATTTCTTGAAGAAGACTAAGCAACACTCGCTGGAAAATTATTTGAAGCTTGAAGACCAAAAACCTATAGAAAATTAAAGATAGTTCAGCATCTAAACAGAAAAGTTCAAAAACAACCTCAAAAATTTCAGCAAAAAAATTACATTTGATAAAGGTGGCTTAGTTGTTGGTAAAGAATTTGAAGCTTTTGATGAGGATGCCTGAGAAGAATTAGTTGAAGCTTGATGACCAAAAACCTACAGAAAATTCAAGTTAATTTAGAATAATAAAACACAAATTCAAGAAAAACTTAAAAAAGTTCAATAAAAAAATTACATTTGAAAAAGGTGAATGAGTAGATCTTGACATATTTCCATAGGAAGGGTGAACATTATTTGTTGAAAAGGTATTTGAAGCTTTTGATGAGGATGGCTGAGAAGAATTAGAGCTTGGAAAATTGTTGGATGATTCACCTTCAAACACCTACAAAATTTACAAGTTCAAAATATAAAATAAAAAGTTCAAAAGTATAACAACAAAAGTTAAAAAAAATAATAATTACATTAGATGAAGATTGCTGAGTAGATTTAGTTGAAGGGTTACTATTTTTGAATCCTTTTCCATTTGAAGCTTGAGAACCAGTTCTGAACCCGTCACCAAAAACCTAAAAATAAAAATGAAATTAAACATATATAATACAAAACAGTTCAAAAAAGACAATTAAAATATTCAAAAAATACTTACATTTGCTGATGATGAATGAAAAGCATTGGTTGTAGCTTTACTATTTTTACTTTGAACATTCTTTTTCTTAGAAAGTACAGAGAGATTTGGTCCTTGTGTTGTTGGATGTGAATAAACCAAAGGATCTCCATCATCATCTAAAACCTACAAAATTTTAAAAAATTATAAACTATTCAATAAAAAAAAAAGTTCAAATAAAAATAAAAGAGGTTCAAAATTACCTCAACAACCAATTTTTGGACAGTAGCTCTTGCTTCGTCTTTGTATTTATCTACTTTCTTTTTCCAACTCTTAGCTTTATTACATGCTTTCTCAATAGTACTCTTTGGCCTGTAGTTTCTCTCACCCTTTTTCCTAGCTATTTTTGGATTGTTTATGAACCCTTCTTCATCACCTTCTTCTTTAGCTTCTTCACCAACTTCAATATCATCAATATGAATTGGACCCATCACACTTTCCACCTTTTCACTTAACATTTGAAAAGTATACTCAACTTCATTTCTTGCTAAATGATCTTCTTGACATGATGTCACTAACTAAACATACTTCCTAACCATTTGAACTCTCCAAACAGCAGAAGGAACAACTTTAACATCTTCACATGTCTCTTCATCAGACACATGACTACACATAGCCTTCTTAGTCCACCTCTTCACTATATAATATTCTGGTATTTTTTTAACACAATGAATATTATATTATATACAAAGAGAGTGTCCACATAACAACCCCATCTCACTCCAACACTTACAAGTGCAATTGATGTTAAAGGTCAATTTCTCATAAGTAACTTCATGCCTTATAATGTCCTTATTTGGCCTCCAAACATAATAACAAATAGTCTCATCATCTTCATGCTTTCGCTCTTGACAACATGAAATACCTATCGCAAATTGATCCTCAAATACCACATACACGGAAATAGTATAAATCTCCCTAGCGTGTATGAGCAAACGAACATTAGCTATTGCAAGATGACGGTTACCCCTCAAAAAACGGAAATCTTGCTTACTTTCTTTACTCCTCCACTCTGATATAACATCAAGAAAAGTACTATAAAAGTCACTCAAACCATCTGTTTTATTCAATCTATTGGAAACAGAATGATTTGTTGTTTCACTCCTTTGGGATGACAAAACTCCACCCGAAAAATAATCTTTTGAATAAGCAAGACACCATTTCTCTTTGATATCATACAAGTGATTTAACCAATCATTTTCTAAACACTTGTATTTTGTCATCATTCTATTAAAAACAAAAAACAAAAAATTAATAAACAAAATGATAATATAGTTGTTCAAATTACAGCAACAAAAGTTCAAAACATAAATAATACTATTCACATACACTTGTTAAACATGAAAAGTAAAATTGTTGAAAATAAATAATAAATAGTTTATATTTAAAGAAAGGTTCAAAACTTAATACATTTAATTCAAATATATTAAATTAATGTTCAAAAATAAACAAATCAGGTTAAATTCAATAAAATTAAGTCCGCAAATATGTAAATGTAATAGTTCAGATATCAAACAAAAAAGTTCAAAACATAAACTAAAAGGTTCAAATAATATTAAAGAAAGCTTACCTTGGCCAGTAATGTTCAAATTCAGCAGGACTTTCACAATACTTAAGCAAATAATCGAATACTCATGGAAACCCTTTTAATATTCTAAGTCCTCCTATATTGGTCTTTGAATTCTCACCAAGGTGCCCAATTCATAAACGGTGCCGAGTGCTTTGAAAAATTTGTCGAATTGCTGCAGCAATTGAAGGGGCTTGATCAGTCATTAAGGTTATGGGGTCTCGACATCCTCCCATAGATCTCATAAAATCCTCAAACAACCATACAAAACTGCTGGTCTTTTCATCAAGAACAAAACCCATTCCAAACATGGCATTATTACAATGATGATTCATACCAACAAAAGGGGCACAAATCATGCCATATTTAATTTGTTAGTGCTATAGGTGGTATCGAACACCATCAAATCACCAAAAACTTCATAATCCCTTCGCATTCTTCCATCCCTCTAAAATGCACTACAAAGGGCATGATTTCCATCAACCTCAAACTCATAATAAAAGTCACTCTCTTTGGCTTGTCTTGCAGCAAAAGACTTGATCAAAGCATTACAATCACCACCTTCTAATATGCCGGCTTTTTCAGTAGCTAAAGCATTGTAAACATCAGTAACAGTGTAGCATAGATTAGGAGATCCACCAACTTCTTTCCTCAAAGCACGAAGAGAATCCGTAACCCCAACCCCACTAGCCTTCATAGTACTTATGAAGTTCAAATGCTCACCTTGCATTTTCCTTTGAGACCTAAGGAGATGTCTTTTCTCAACAGGCTTCATAGCATGATTGTGATCCATATTGTGTTTAACAGCAGTCCAAACACCTTTCTCATCAATAACAAAATCAATGTAAGCTTCATAACATGTACGGTAATCCAACTTAGAATACTTCCTAGGCACCTTGGAAGAAGTATCCTTCAAAGTTCAAACCAGCATTTGAACATACATAATTCCTGCCTCTCCAAACACTTGTAGTACCAACATATCGAACTTTCCCTTTCCTAATACTAAATCCATGCCGAAATGCATAATCATTATACATTTCATATGCGTCCGCATCACTGTTGACTTGATTCCACTGCAATTCAGACTTTTCACTTTCCTTATAAACAACTTCATACTTATAAACTACAATAAACAAACAAAATGCATAACAAACATTATTATAGTTCAAAAATAAAAGAACAAAGTTCAAATAAAAGGATAAGATGTTCATAATTACTTGTACAATTCTATATTAAAAAATATACAGGATCAAAGGTTCAATAAAATAAAATAAAGATTCAAAAAATAACATGACAATGTTCATAATATATTTAAACTAGGATTTTTTGTGAAAAACTACCTTTTATATAAAACTTTTTGTGAAAAACTACCTTTTAAAAAAAATGTTGTAAATGACTACCTCTTTTTTAAAAAATGTTATAAATGACTACCACTTGCCGGAATCTGGCCGTTGACTCACTTTTCCGGCGTTGACCACCCACGTGTCGGTCACATGACCTTTATTTTTTTTCTTTTTTTTTCTATGCATGCACCACCAACAATGCCGCCATCTTGACCACCGCCCCACCACCACAACACCTCAACCCACCTCAAAACACCCTTACAACCGCCCCCACGCATCCCAAAACCAAGCCAACCCCACTTGAAACCGCCTCCACCC